CTGCCTCTCTTACCCTCCAACTTTCCCACTGTCACGATGTAATCAAATTTTCTCCTTCTCATCACATGACCAAAAAATGTAGATTGGTAATCTTAGTAATCTTGGTTTCAGCTTCATAGCAAACGAGTCATCCCATAGTTGTTCCGCTCCTGCGCCAACGAAAAACACACAGAATGTTCGTCGCAGTCCCTTGTGGAAAGATTGACAGACTGCTCTCTCAGCATATGCACTAGCATAAACACGAATGTAGATTGTCACTGATGTGGGCAATGAGTTCTCTTCGTGAGTCAGTTTCTTTCAAGACATACTCACTACTCTTGTTATCTATAGACACACACATCCTTACCTTATTCTTCCGTTTGCCCCACCTACGGGCCACCTCCTCAGGGTCCACCATGCGGAACTCTCCCTTGTTGCCCACCCACTTGATGCAGTTGTCGTTGGTGCTGTCGGTGAGCAGCTCCAGCAAGAACTGCCACAGTTGCACTTGACCACTGCCTGTTGGACCACACAACAACATTTCACTACAACAAAAACACAGATCTATCTCTTTAAGTAACTGCCAGCTCATCGTGCTCCTCTTGATTTACTCTTTACGCAGTGCGCATTCATTATCAACATCATTATATGTAGCAGTTTATGCAATATCATAGATGAAAACCAGTTCAGCACCTTTGGCCTCTCTTATGAACGTTCGTTTTAGGGTTTCCTTTGAGCGTCCTCGCTTCGTCGATCCTTTTATTTCCTATTTTGATACCTCTTTATAATTGTCTGCTTGCACTAATATTGAAATATTAGGATCACATTAAAAGACAACACTTAAAAAACCATACGGATGAAAACATTCGAAGGTAAGAGAGCCACAGGTAGGCCAATATACAAGTGGGCGATATCTGGAGATGGGCAAACAGTGGTCTGAGAGAGTGTACAACAAAGACGGAATGCACAGAGTGTTGGAGATCTACTGCAGATAACTTTCTTTGTGAAAACTTCAAATAATTTATTGGAACGCATTTCTGAATTGTTTCTAGCTAATTCTTCTGAAATCCTAATCTAAGTTAACCCAGATTTTAACTTATTGTGTCTGATTGCTGTACTACTTTAACTCACTGTGTCTCATTGCTGTACTACTTTGTGTCTCATTGCTGTACTACTTTAAGTCCCTGTGTTTCATTGCTGTACTACTTTAACTCATTGTGTCTCATTGCTGTACTACTTTAACTCCCCGTGTCTCATTGCTGTACCACTTTAACTCATTGTGTCTCACTGATGTGCTACTTTGGCTTATTGTATCTCCTTGCTGTACTACTTTAGCTTACTGTGTCTCATTGCGGTACTACTTTAACTCATTGTGTCTCATTGCTGTACTACTTTAGCTTATTGTGTCTTATTGCGGTACTACTTTTACGCATTGTGTCTCATCGTTGTGCTACTTAGCTCACTTCGTCTCAATATGTGCTACTTTAGCTTATTGTGTCTCATTGTTGTGTTACTTTAGCTCATTGTGAATCATTGCTGTGCTAATTTAGCTCACTCCTGTCTCATTGCTGTGCTACTTTGGATCACTGTGTCTCAGAGCTGTGCTAATGTAGCTCACTGTGTCTCCCGGCTTTGCTTCCTACTTTAGCTCACTGTGTCTCATTGCTGTGCTACATTGTATCACTGTCTCACAGTTGTGCTGGTTTAGCTCACTGTGTCTCACAGCTGTGCTACATTTTATCACTGTCTCACAGTTGTGCTAATTTAGCTCACTGTGTCTCATTGCTGTGCTACATTGTATCACTGTCTCACGGCTGTGCTACGTAACCTCCCAAAGACTCAAATATGGTTATTTTCTGTGCAACAAACTCTTGGATAGAATGTATTTAATAACCGCCAGATAGAGCTTCAGTGAGTTAAGTTGAACCACACTAGAGGCACGCACTGGTTGATTAACGCCCGGTGACCCAAAGAGTCACAATTCGGATAAGCATGCCTAGATACAATCCCAGAAACCCCGTTAAATGGTAATGTTTTATTTGGGGCGGCGATTATGAAGTAGCCAGGAGTCTAGATGAGGTAGGTTGGGACTTAAATAGTTAATTTAGTCCTGACACATCCGTCTAGAGGCAATTCGACATATATTGACGCAGATGGAATGAACTAATGAACAATGGTACACATTTTTTTAATCTTCAAAGGGTTAAGAATTGGGCCCTTCTAGTCTCCCTCATTTCAGACATCATTTCATTCATACACCAAGGAATAGAAAACATCAATAGCATCAAAATTTCAATCCAAGCACCGGAATGTGCACATTTCAAACTACAGTAAACCGTAATAGATGTAATAAATCTAGGGAAATATACGCTATATCTAAAATATGCATCTTCTATAGGAGATTTAATCTTTGCTCAGATTATAGTCGATCAGGTAGGTAGGTAGTTGTACCCCACCAGGACAAGCGATAAACACCCGGTGACACAAAGTGCAACCATGCGGATGATGATCACCCTTGGAGAGGTCCCTGAAACGCCTTTTAACCGTTAGGCCATATCTATGTGTAGGCCATATCTACGCCCCGGCTATATTCAGGGCCACCGACAGAAGCCAAAAAACAAAAAATTCATTCCACGATGGGACGACTTCGATTTCCGATTTGTGTACTCGGACTATTGGTATTTTTGATTTGTTGTGGAAGATGGCTCCACAAATGAGCCCCGAAGATGCAGGAGTAGACTGTTTGTGAGACAGGAGAACAGACAGACAGGTGTACATGCAGACAGACTGAGACGCATGACTGAATTCACCTTAAAGCACTGTGTCAACTGTTCTTACCTGCTAAGATTAATGAGGCGATTTCTCTCATTTTATCTCCATTGCCTCCCTTGAGATCCGTTGGCCTTGACGGGCCAGGCTTGGGTAGTCTTGTGTTTGTGGCGCTCGAAAGTAGGTCACTGATGTCTAGATCGGGAGACGGCGGGATCTCGTCTGGTTCTGAAAGACAAGTGACCATTTTAGTATTTGAAGTTAATGTATTGGTCTGTCGATTGATTTGCTGGTTAAAGTAACGTTTGTCGCCCCAGAAAGAATAGAGTGACTTCCCTTCCCATTCATGCTTCGTGGGGTCGCAGGGCCTCTCATATATTGTCGGCGTGTTATGATATAGCTGGGTTCGGCGTTCGCTCGGCATACATGTTTTTGGGATATTGTATTGTCGGGGTTTCTTTGAGGCGCCGCAGGCGCCTGTGTACAAGTAAACATCACTGTAGGGGGAAGCAAACCAGGCGCGACGGTTCAATGAGTATAGAAACTACGATATTTTTGTATTTCTACGTTCGCTGGTGGTGGCTTTCCCCTGAGTCAGAGAAGCAACTGAGTAGGAACGTAGGATTTTTAAAAAACTATCGCGATTTCCATACTCCGGAACAGTTGCGCAGGTAGCAGAACGTGAAAATAAGCAGGCAACTGAGCGATGAGAAGACGAAAATAGAAAAAGAGAGAGCGGTTAAAGTGTTGACAACATGGAAATAATATACTGTGGACCAGTGTTGCCACTTTAGATGTTTGACATCCATATTTAGATGATTTCCCTGCATTTAGATGGCGTTTTGAACGTTTAGATGGTAGATGTTTTTCTAGATGTTTTTTTTTAATTTGGAGTGAATTTATCAAATCTAACCTAAGAAACAGGATGAAATTTGACCTCTTAAATGCTATCTCGACAGTAAAATTCGGCCTGATAAGAGTAGGAAAATGCTGTTCCACTTATCAGCTCCCTGATTGGGTATTAAAAAAACTTGGAACAGTTTAAGCATACCAGAGTTATTTTGGATCTATAGCTTCAACTTCATCATCAAAGCTAAGTTTAACGTGTGGGTCTAGTAAGGCAGACTTCAGTAAAGATGAGGAAATGATTCTATAAGGTAAGTCATATCAATTGCTATGTAATTTGTGACCCTTTCCATATGGATGTTTTTTCTAGATGTTTTTAGATATTTTTTGACTCCGTTTTGGATGTTTTTTGTCAAAGAAAAGTGGCAACACTGCTGTGGACCATATCTTCAGAAGACAGAAGTAAATTACTCACTCGTGTTAGGTAAGGACAGATTAATTTAGAAACGATGAAGTCAGGAGGAAAGTATACACAGAAACAATAATGAACTACATGTGTAGACAACAAACTGAATGGTTTGGCCATTTAACAAGATTATAATGAGACAGCAGCACAAAGAGCAATGTTATACAGACACAGTGGTAACAGGTCCAGAGATCGACCACTCAGAAAAAGGACACACGACACGACAATAATAATACTCTTGTATATGTAAAACAGGTTACTGAAATGAATAACTGGGGAAGAAGAAATATTAAAACAAAAGAAGGACATATAGAACCAAAGATAGGCAGAAAAAAAATTGGCAGATTCACAAATATACAGACAGTCAGATTGATAGGCAGACTGACAGATAGACGAATTTTAAAAAAAAATAGAATTGAAAATGAACGAAATAAAAAAAAACGAAATAATTAAAGGATTTAAAAAAAAACAAGACAGGCAAGAAGACCAAAGAAAATGAGAAATAAAGGAAATGCACTTGACATAAATGGCTTCCGCGTCGCTGGTAATGCGCTCACTCGCAATGCAGACAACAAAATGTCAAAATAAAATGCCCACCCAGAACATATTATAAATAGATTATGCAATTCATTTAAACTTGCTGACGCTACAGTATCTCTGCACTGTACAGGGATTCTCCATGTGGGATCTCTGAGGGGAAGACTGTGGCACTAATGGGTGTATCGGAGCGCAATAAGGGCCATTCTTTACAAACTAAACGAAGCCAACTACACAGCGTTGATCAACCGTACCTAATATATGCATCGACCGTAAGTAAAGACCACGCAGAGCGGATACGCTTGGTTGAATGGCCATGAACCATGGGGAGGTCTGGGGTACTGTTAAGTTGGATGAACTGGCGTGCCTTCTTCTGTGTTGCTGTCTTTCCCGTCGTTGCCACAGTCCTCATTGTCGTCGTCTTCTTCTGGGTTGCTGTCTTTCCCGTCGTTGCCATAGTCTTCATTGTCGTCGCCTTGTTCGCTTTTACTGTATCTTCCCCTTTCCCTTCTTCTTTCGCTCTCTCTCTCTCTCTCTCTCTCTCTCTCTCTCTCTCTCTGCTTCTAGCTTTCCAACCTTTAAGATTTACTCCCTTTTTCTTTATCTCACGACATGACCAAAGAATGTAGATTGTTTCTTTGCGATGTGGGCAATCAGTTCTCTTCGCGAGTCAGATTCTTTCACCTCATCTTCACTACTCTTTTCTTCTGTCTGGTTTATTCTCATCATTCGTCTATAAAACCCTAATTCCGTTGCTTCCCAAAAATTGTTCGTTAATCGTTCATCTGTCCATGATTCACATCCGTATACCAGGATAGGTGTAATGCTTATAAATTTACTTTCACGTCTCAGTTGACAAAGTGATATTGCATACGGTATTCTTCTTTTTGGAAAATGCTACCTTTGCTTGAGCTATTCTCATTTAACTTCCTTAGTGCATCTCCCATCGGCTGTTATCATGGTACATTGTTTTGTTTTTGTTTTGTTTTAGTATCCAGAAGCCATGAGTTGTTAACCCTTTGGCTCAGTATTATGGATATCGCAACCTTTTGGCCTTGATTCCATTTTAAATACCGTAAATCTGGGAGAAATGTGCCTTTTCTGCCCACCCCCGGGAGTGAACCCGGACCACAAGGAATTCGTCACCAGCTCACCGCGCAATCCGGTTTAGCCAACTACGCTGGAGAGACGGGCATCTGGGTACATAAATACTTCAACGTATGGACTTGCTTGAGTATTGACTCATTAACAATGATGCATTTTGGCCCTTTCTCTTACTTCTCCTTGTTGGATATGGGCGACTGGAAGCTGAAGGGCAAAAAAGAGTCATTAAAGAACACTGAAGATTGAAAGTTAAATGGTAAAAAGAGTAATCAAAGTAGTAGTAGTAGTAGTAGTAGTAGTAGTAGTAGTAGTAGTAGTAGTAGTAGTAGTAGTAGTAGTAGTAGTAGTAGTAGTAGTAGTAGTAGTAGTAGTAGTAGTAGTAGTAGTAGTAGTTTTACCCCGCCAGGACATCACACAAGTCATAAACACCCGATGACACAAAGTGCCACCACGTTGATGAGGATCACCTGTGGAGAGCTCCCATAAACCGCTTTTAACCATTAGGCCATATTTGGGGCCAGGCTATATTGCGGCCCCTGACAAGAGCCAGAGTAGGGTTTCAAATAACGAAAAATTGTATTCTAAAAAGGACGGGGAGTAATTATCTTCTTCTTCTTCTTCTTCGCGTTCACCAGCTGTACACTCTGGCGGAAAGTTCTGGTTGCTCGTCCACGACTGAACTGCAGTCCTGCTCCAGAACTTTTTAATACTGAAACCAATTAACACTCAAAAATTGGAAGTTGGAGGGCAAGAGGAGTAACCAAAGAACACACCATATTGGAAGTTGGAGGGCAAAAAAGAGTAATAAAAGAACACACAAGTATCACTTGTCGCGAAAGAAATACAATGAAAAACATACCATGACTGAGAGCTGATATCGATGTCTCCTGACTACCTTCGTACTGTATACACTCCATGATGTCATCAAGTAGATTGCAGGACGATGATGTGGTGAACTCTTCTGCATTGTCCGGGGCAACAGGGGAGGTAACATTCTCTGCACTAACAGCGATGTCGCTTCCAGGGGACATAAGAATCCCCGGGCTAATGGGGTGGTACATCATGATATGTTCATCGTAACTTGGCGGGTTTTTGAAGAGCGTCACAAAATCGCTGGTATCGGAGAGGATATGTCCACGCTCCTCATTGCTGGCATTTGTAGATAAAGGCGACCATGTCGAGGATGATGCAGAGGAGGATAAAGGTGATGATGTAGCAATTTCTTTTGCGTTGGTGATGCTGCTAATATCAAGTCTGCAACAACTCGATTCATAAACGGACGTATTTGTCACGAAGTGTTCTCCATTCTGTGATGGCTGAACAGAAGGAAAACCTGAAAGCATAGGAATCAGTCTTGCTTCTGATTGCCCTTGATGTGCGAAGCTGGAGGTGAAGTTCTCATGCGATAGAGAATCAGCTCCTGGTGGTTGCACACATCCATTGGAACGAATCTGACCTTCCTTTTCTGAAGCCAATGATGAAAACTCGGTGTTGAGGGGATATTTATCTTTCCTGAACGATCCGGGACTTGCAGCTTCATTGTGGATGAAAGAATTTCGACTATGAAACATCTGTAGATCGTGGAAGTTTCCTTCAATCTGATGTGAATAGATGGAGTCAGGGTTGTTCTGACATGAATTGTTTCTTGATTCAACACTTCCAGAATAAATGCTTCTCCCAGGGAAGGCCATTACCTGGAACTGGGGATCGTTCATATGCCGACGATTATCCATATCTTTTGGAATCGAACAGTGAGACAATGATGTTTCTTCGAGAAATTTTGAACGCGTTTTGTGTTCAAAAGCAACAAGTGGCTGCTTGCTGTTGTGCTGGTAACTAGCGAGACTGTCAGGGGGGCTAAACTCGACGCTGTGGTCGGCAGAGTAATACGTCTCATGAAATTCTCCACAGTGAGAAGGTACAATCTGGTCCAATTCAAGATGGAATATTTCGTCTGTATGCATTTGTTCTTTGTGTGATGATTCAGGCCGTAAGCTGGATGTAATAAAACATGTACCGTTATGAGAAAACAAGTTAAAGCAAATCGGTATACAGTATAATGTAGTTGTTCGTGGATTATCTGAGTAAACAGTGAAGTGCAGGACTCTTGTCCACTCCTTCAGGCGTATTGGATATAATGTCCTAGATCTATACTTCATTGACCAGTCGGCACTAGGGGGCTGATGTGGTCTACACTATGCCGCCGAGTTTACTTCCAAGGAATTTACCTTGTATCGATTTAAGACTGGATCGATCTGGATGCCAAGGTCCGGCTTCGTTCTGATTTGAACCTAAGATTTTCAGATCCACAAGTGAATACAAACCCCTACCCACAGCAGATCCCGGATTAATTGCTTACTGCGGCACCAGATTTAAAATGCAGTGTTTTTTTAATGCAAATAAACATGTGTTAACCCGTGACAGGTGATGTAAATCAACATCACGTCGGCCGTGATATTGACTGGTAACTATATTAGGCTAGGTCGATCTGGGAGCCGACATGACATCCCCCCTCAAACTGTGGGTGGGGATTCAAACCACCTGCCTTCAGCCCGGTAGACTAACATCTGGTTACTGCTGTTTTGAGTCCATTTGGAATTTGAGTAAATAGACAAGTAGTAGGAACATCACTAAATTAGAAGTGAAGATAGCAACAGATTTTACAATAACTGAGATGAAAGTGGACTTAGCTGCATGCTTTCTTCAGGACATCGCAGGCCAACCCTTGCCACTCTCTCTTTAATTTCATTTTCTTTTAAATCAACTGGGAAACTTCTTCTTCTTCTTCTTCTTTTTCTTTTTCTTTTTCTTCTTCTTCTTCTTCTTCTTCTTCTTCTTCTTCTTCTTCTTCTTCTTCTTCTTCTTCTTCTTCTTCTTCTCTTCTTCTTCTTCTTCTTCTTCTTCTTCTTCTTCTTCTTCTTCTTCTTCTTCTTCTTCTTCGCCCTAACCACTGGTAAGCTCCGGCTGAAAGTTATGGTTGCTCATCCACTTTTGGACTTTAGTCTTGATCAGTTGTACAGATCTGGATTATCTTATGCAGACTGTTGGTTCCTTACCTCTCAGACATGGGCGTTTCGATTTCGAAGGAAATACCCCAAATTAGTCAATTTTTACGACATGCGTGTTTTTTTTTTTTTTCGTGATAGTGGGGTCCCAGATACCATAAAAGTTTTTTTAATTTATCGCTATATTTTAATTGGTACGACGCTCATATCGTTATCACAATCAGCTTTAAGCAGCTGGCTATCATATTGTTTGCAAATTGCATGGATTGGATAAACAATACTGAATTTAATCCCAACATCACCCGGCCATTGAGTCGAAACATATCACACCTAAAGTCTACTGACAATGAAATCAATAAGCCTTAACCATCAGGACCAACACTCACAGCTAAACATAACACCCAACGGTCACAACCAACAATCACAACTAAACATAAAACCCAACTGTCACAACCGACAATCACAACTAAACATAAAACCCAACTGTCACAACCAACAATTACAACTAAACATCAAAACACAATCACCACAAAATCAACAATCACAAATATAACAATGAATCAACACCGTGTAGATATAAAAGCAATTTTTTTTTTTGAAAATTCCTGGGAATTGCCGATGTAGCTACAGAGTACATTCTTTGTGCGAGTCTATCTGTTCTACAGAGAGAGAGAGAGAGAGAGAGAGAGAGAGAGAGAGAGAGAGAGAGAGAGAGACTGAGCCACCTGGGATAAGACCGTGTGCAATGAAATCAATTCTCTCTAATTTAACTTTCATTAAAATTAGTGCCACGCAGTTAAATAACTAGCTTCCATCTTAGCGACAGATTTCCTTCTAATCTGACCAGAGAAGGGAAACTAGAGGAAAGATCGCGTCTGAAAGAAGCCGGTAAGAATGGCGAAAGAAGATACAGCTTAAACTTCTTTAAAGAGAACTTTCACCTGTCTTTACTTGTGGAGATAGCTCCTTGCGATGATAAGCACTTAGTCTGCACTCTGTAATCATCCTACTTGCAAGAAACATTCACTTTCAAGTAAAAGTGTTCACAGGTGGTCAGACTTCAAAAGAAAATATAAAAGTCGGAAGAGTCTTTCAAGCATATCCGCTTTTCAAATAGTCTCAGCTGATTCTGAATGCATCAAAAGCACAATTATTTGTTGATGTTGATATCTAATTATAAGTACATATATTGTATGTATAATTAGTATTAGGCGCAATATCTGTTAAGTTAATCATAATCCCCTTATATCTGTGCTCCTCAGTACTCTCGAGTAACATATAACTAACCTACAATACTGTTCCGAGTTCAAACGTTTACAGGCGATGTGTAAAACCATCAAATCTAAGGATGCTAAATTATGTATGCTAACTTTACATACCCGAATAAATTGCACGTAAATACAATCCAGTAATGAATAAATGTATCAGCAATGTAAGTGTGTGGGTACATCCGTCTAGATATATCTGCTTTCAAACAGGGTACGTTTCCATGTTTCCTTATCGTAGGCGAACTAGGCTAGTGTAGGAATAGAGAACGAGCTCGCTGTCACTTATATAGATATATGTAATCTTGTCAATGCCTGTTGCTTTCATTATAGACATAAAGTAGTCCCTGTAAGGGCGCGCGTTTGACAAATGTTGTTCTGTATCGTTGCGCGAAATCAGCCAGTAAAATGGAGCCAAGGCACGAGTTGAGGTCACGGACGGGTCCATGTCAATCTCCCACGCACGACGTAAATTTTATGAATGAAACTGCGTCTAGTGAGAATCTGGCGGGGGAGCAGACACAACAGAAGGAGGTTTTGGTCGTTGCATGTAGTCCCTCTTTCGTCGAATTATTATTATTGTAAATATTATTATTATTATTATTATTATTATTATTATTATTATTATTATGCACACAATGACAGGCAGATATATTTGAAGTGACACGAAATGTATAGAGAAATAAGTTAAACGAGAATTGTCTATAGATGAAGGGACACAAAGTACCAAACCTCTCAGGTACCAGTGCCTTTGATGTTTGGGCCTCTTTGCCTCCCTATCACTTTCTAGGGGTGGGGAATTTCCAAGTGTTTTTTCTCCTATGGTGCGTTTGTTTTTTGTTTTTTTGCGGACGAATTTATCCGACGCCTACCGGAGATTAACGAACTGCGACGCCAAGGGACTGTCGTTTGCCTTCGTGATGACTCGTCCCGGAGCCTGGCATGTCGAGTGTGAAGTGGGTCAATGTCTGGGGGTTTTAAATAGGACATGTGCTGATATCACAGGAAAACTAATTTTCTCCCACTTGTGCGACTTTTCACGTTTTCACTTTTATGTTGGTGCTCGTTAGTTCGTGAAGTTTGGGAAGACTAAGTCTTGAACTCTTTTGAAACTCTTATTGCAGTTCAGATCGTCAATGACTGAACAATGTAAGAGAAAGAAACATAGTCGGATTTGTACTTCATGAGGCCCCAAGCTAGCAACAAAGCCCTGAGTCCCTAGCGTTTAAAAGTACTCCAGCTAATTTAGGAAAATTTTAAAATATATAAACTTTTTATTTGTATGGATGATGGAGTCATAATGTCGTTTAATTCATATTGAGAGACACTAAAAAGAATAAGTTTGCAATATCACAAGTTATATTATATTTGCCTACAAGTCGCGTTCAACCATCATCCCAGAAGGTGGAGCTTCTGGTTATAACTGTGACCAGGTTATGTGCGCCATATAAAATAGCTTAGCATTGCACGCCATCAAAAACCCTTAAAAGGACTCCTGCAGTGTTGATGCGATCAAAGGAGAGAGATCCAGCTACTGTCCCAGCCGGTGACGAAGTCGTCTACCGGTGAGCCAATAGGCCACCCGGTCACCGATTAACTAGTCAGAGATAATATACCCCAAGTAAACACAGTCACATTAGAAATTTTTTTGGTGGAAAAAAACACACCATATATTAAAAGAAAATTGGGCTATCTTTCGAATAACGGTTCCAAATTATGGAGGCCGAAAATATACCCTAACAGGGCCTCAGTCACGTGTCAATTGCGAACTTCCGCCACCGCCGAGAGTATCTTCCATGCCGCTACGCGCAGCGTGGATTGGGGCTAAACTAGTTGGCTGGGACTTCCGAGGAAATAAAATGAAGGAAGCTGCAGGAGATGCGGTAGCTGCTGCTCGTGAGTCCCAACAATCTAGTTTAGCCCCGAGATACTCTCGGCGTGGGCGGTAGTCGCCGGAAGTGCGCAATGTAAGTCGCTGGAAGTACGCAATTGACATGTGACTGAGGCCCTGTTAGGGTCTATTTTTGACCTCGATAATTTGGGACCGTTATTCGGAAAATAGCTGAAAATTGCATTTAAAAATTCATTCATTCAAAATAGCATTCGCAAACACAAACATTTGTTTATTCGGGTTCCTGCAGATGTGTATCTCATTTAGCTTATCCTAAAGTCCAGCAGCGGAAGGACATCTGAGTGATGCCGATGGTAATTGTCAGGATTCTTACGGGTTTGATTCTCATCCTTGAGATGTTAATCCGGTTCTTCTCACGTTTCTAGGCCCAGGCTCCGTCCACTTACATACTAGGTCAATTTCCATTCATACTTCATTTTGCTCGTCAACTTTGCTAAACGTTACAGGGGTGTCTCGGTTTACTGTTTTATTCAA